ATGATTTCAGTGTATATAGCATAGTCACACTCTCACATATTCCACTTTTTCATAACTTTTGTGAGTTGTGCCTTATGCCTTGTTTATGAGCCAATGCTTGAGCATGATTTTATCGCCTTATGAACTTCCTTCTCAGCATGTTTTGGCCTCTAATTTGGCATTTTTGAGCTCTGTCCAAAGCTGGTGTGGTTGTTTAGGCTATGTATGGCATGCCTCTTGTATGATGCTCTTCACTAGCCTTAGTGTTTTGGGCCCTTAACATGTCTTGCACGCATTGCTTACATGATAGAGTCTTGTACATGCCACTTTAACATTGAAGTATCTGCCATCTTTCCCATTAGAGGACTTTCACAATTGGACCAACCGGTTAAGGAATTGATTGGTAATCTAAAATGTGTAAACAAAATCAACCAAAAACATGCCAAGATAAGCATGTTGTTTGCATTGCATGGTGTTCAATCGGACGTTATATTGAACACAAGATGAATTGGTTCATTGCATACTTGAAGTGATGAAAATGAGCCAATTCTCTTTGTCTCCATTGCCTTTGATCACTCATGATAAGGCCGTGGTCTTAGTGTCTTGTTTGTTGTGCATTTATTGAATGTGTACAAGTTGGGTCTTAGACCATCATGCATTCAAAATGCTTGATTGATGGTTTTGGATCCAATAATGCCACTCTCTTGATGTTTTGAGATGATAAGGAAGGGCATAGTACATACATGTTCTTGGGAGACCCTCTATTTTCCTCTGTTTTGTGCTCTGCTGCAGTTTGGTGTCACATCACACCAGTGGCCGGAAGTGCCACACTGATGGCCGGCACCCTTGCATTGTTGGCCGGCAGAGGCCTATCCTTGGCCGGCAGATAGCCGGCAGCAACTCCTCATGGTCGGCAGGCCACTGGTGCACTCCCCAGCATTGGTTTGGTAAGTTTCAGCAGCAAGTTCTTGAAGACACCTTGCAAACAGAGCCTCTAAAGAACAAACCGAAAGGCTTTTCGGGGTGAGAAACCGAATGCGAGCATGCATGTTCAATTTCTTGAAACAGAGCTGAGGCAGCATAGTTTGGTGCTTCACTTGTTAGTTAGCACCTCAATGTGTATTTAATTAATTTGTTAATTAATTAAGTGTTGTAATAATTAAGTAGCCTAGTTTAGCTATTTCTGTATTGGTTGTGTAATAAATTAGTCTAATTAGCCTTATTAGATTAGTTGATTAGCTTAGCTTAGATAAGCTTAACGTATTCATTCGGACCCTCCGTCGAGAGGGCACAATGTTGTAATAAGGGTGCGTGTGTGTGTGCATGTCTTCCAACCCCATTTCTTTCTCCCTTTTACTTATCAACTTTTGATGGTTAGTTTTAGGACATATTTCAATTAGCATACCTTATGCTTGCATGTTTGCATCATTCATTTGTCTTGCATGTACTGGGCTCGGCGCATCATTCAAACTGCATCGTATTTCAATACTTACTTGAATACGTGTTTCAAAGCATGTTATCAAGTGTTGCATTCACATGCCATCTTAGATAGTCGAGCCTATTTAATTGCATTTTTGCATGTGTTGCATTAGGCATCTTAAACATAACTAGGATCATGCATGATTTCTAACTAGTTTTCTTTTTTGGCTCGGAGTACACTGTAAGTGTTTACGCTTTAGCATCCTTGCATGAGTGTAAGTGATTTCCATGTTCAGTATGCTTGCCATGAGGCTATTTGCTTAAGTGTTCAATTGCATGAATGCCTGTGGATGAAGGTTTCATTACTTGAATTGGAACAATTCATCAAAATGGGAGTTTTAAGCCCACCTGGAATGGCAAATCATCATGTTTTAAGCTCACCTTGTTTGGTGGCAAATCCGCATTTCTAAGCCCACTTGAGGATGGAAAATTCAAACCATTTTCGAAAAAAACATTGAATTGTTTTTTTCCAATTTGGGCGATCTAGTCTATACTTGTATGCTGCACGCATCACATAGTAAGTTAAGCTAATAACCGGAATAAAAACACATGTGTTTTCAAAACAACATATCATGATTAGTAGAGGCCGATCCTTTGATTGGGCAAGCGAGGGTGCTCATTTCATGACCTTCTCCCTTCATACCCAAGTTCTCGAGCCAAGACAACTTTGGTGATGACGAACGTGTGGCCTTGGGCACGAGTCAGGGTTTCCTAAATTTTTCAAAAATAAAATATTTAGGTGGCAACTCTAAAATCTGGCAAAGCAGTCCATGTTTGGCGCTTTTTGATTAAAATCAATTTTCTAAAATGATTTGTCGGATTTGAACTCTTGGTAATTTATCAGTCTTACATTGCACTTTGTGAGATTAGATTCAAAACCATGACAAGAGTTCGAACTGTAGTAGCTATGAACCCCAATTCGCGCCCTCTCCGTAAAGGGGGGCGCGAGTAGAGAATTTCGGGCGGTCTACACAGGGTTCGTCCACGAAGTTCCATCTTACTCTATTGCGGAAACTGGTCCGCACATAAACTATACTCAATCTTAGTACAGTTTTTTATTTATATCTTTCTCACTTACATTAACAATAATCTTAGACATCCAAAAACTTTTCTTCTAATCTAAAATGATAAAATCTTATCTTTAAAATTGTTTGGGGAGAAAAATTGTCATAAAATTGAGCTAAGTTGCACCGACATTGCTTGAGTATTTGTCGAGCACTAGTCTCTTCTATTATTTCAAGCTCTCCAGCCCATATTACCTATATCAAGGGTTGTTCCCAACATTTCAAGCACTTGAGCCCACATCAAAAATTGAGACCCACGTCAAGCCCCTTTCAAGGGTCGAGTGCTTGAGTCCCTGTTAAGCGTTGAGGGCTCAACCCATATCACGCCCTTATCAAGCATTAAGAGCTTGAGCTCCAATCAAGCTCTTGTGAACTCAAAGTTGGGATTGAGCATCTTTGAAAAAAAACTTTATGAAAAGTGACTTAAAGAACAAATAATTTAAAAACCTATAAAAAATGATTGGTGCCTAAATATGTGTGCGTGACCTAGCCAAAAAAAAAATTTGTGTGCATAAGAGAGAGAACCTGTTTGGCAATGGCAACATTGGTTTTTAATTAAAAAAAAGTCAAAAAAATTATTATAGGTTGTATTATTATTCTTTTTATTTTTTATTCGTCTTTTTATAAATAAAAAATTAAAAAATTAACTAAATTAGTTAATTTCCAAATAAGACCCCAAGCGTTGAAAAATAGCTGAAGTAATCTACTGACCAAACCTAAAAAATTACAAACTCCAAATGTTTTGTTCATTAAAAAGCCATATCTTTAAAAATAGTCAGAATCCTTAAAAATAGCAACATGTTCCGTAATAAAGTTAAGTAGGGATGGCAATTTAAACCCTGCCCGACGGGGACCCAACCCCCCAACCCCGATTAAAACGGTTTTTTTTTCGAAAAATACTCCCGACGGGCCGGGGATGGTATTCAAAAATGAATCCCCAATAATTTTCGGGCCGGGGACGGTGATATGTTTTTCAGCCCCAGCTCGGCCCTGACCCCGGTCCCATCCCCGGCCTGGTTTTTTCCCGAGTTGAAATTACATATATGCCCCCTATATCTATTTATATATATACACCTAACCCTCCTTATTTGTGAGCAAACAGAGCAGAGAGAGAGACACTACCGAATCAGCGACAAAGAAAGGGAAGAGAGAGAGAGAGAGAGAGAGAGCAAAGGTGAAGAGAAGATCTGAGGAGAGAGAGCAAAGAGAGAGACCATCGCCGAGACACTACCGTCGATCGTCGTTTCTTCTTCTCTCCCAGCGACCGTCGCTCCTTCTCCGCGCCACCGCAGCGACCGTCTCTTCTCTTTACAACGACCGTCGCCGCTTTCTCCTCCTCTCGTCTCCACCACGGCAGATCTCTCTCTCCCTACTCAGATCTCTGTGTAGTGTGTGTGTGATGTTGATGATGTTTGCTAAGATCTCTCTTTCTACTCAGATCTCTCTCAGAGAGAGTTTTTCTTTTTTTTTTTTTGATGTTGTTAATGTTGGTGAAGATCTGTTGGTGATGTTGTTGAAGATCTGTCGGTGTTGTGTTCTGTTGATGTTGTGATCGTTTATTTTTATTTTTCTGGAGTTAATTTCTTTTGAAGATCTGTTGGTGATGTTGTATTTAAGCTCAAGTGGGTTGTTGATGACCGGGGATTTTCGGGTCAGGGAAACCCGATCCCCGTTAGGGAGCAAAGGTAGGGGCGGTAGTGGGTTTCCCGTCGAGGATCGAGGCCGGAGAAGGTGGAAGTTCTACGATCGAGGATCGGGGACGGGGAGGATGATCCCTGGCCCCGCCCCGTTGCCATTCCTAGAGTTAAGGTTCTAAATTCAAGTCTCGCTCGTTTCTCAATCTTCAATTCTTTTTTCTTTTCTCTTTTTTTTTTGTCTGAGAAATGAGACACTTGGCATAAGCGATTGAATCATTTTGCTTTGAATAATGGGTTGGACTTTTCCCATGTTAGCCATCTCTACTTGAGAGAATATTTGGGTTTGGCAGGTTCATTTTAGGACCAACTTTAGTGATTTAAATTGTTCATTTTTTAGGACTCACTAAATAAAACTAAATTATACCGTTTCGTTCGATTTGGACTGGTTTACCGTTTCTACTAGATTTATTAGACAACCCTACTTTTAAGTAATTAAATTTAAAGAGAAATTTATATTTAAAAAATATGATTATTTATACAAAGATTTCTTAATTTATTGAGAAGTATCACATTGACCCCCCAAGTCAAAACACCTCATCATATCATTCTCATTATTTTTGTTTACAACTTTTTTAAGTAGTCATCCCTGAAACGAAAAATTACGTAGTGATATTGAGACATGGTCACATTATGTCCCAACTTAAAATGCAATTGAAATTATTAGATGGAATATCTTTTTACTAAGTTACTATTATTGGATCCAACCTCACTGGAACTGTCTCCTAGTAATCCTAATCCTAATCCTAATCCTAATCCTATTGCGATTAGGTTTGAATTAGATTAGGCGGATTGTGGGGGTTATAAATACATAGTCTTGTAGGTTTTTATTGTTAGGTTAGGTTCCTTGTTGTTATTCCAAGGTAACAAGGTGAGGTTCGCGGTTGGAACGTTTGAGTTGTTGTTTTTGTTGTTGTTGTTCTAGTATTTAGGTACAAAATATAAATGGGAAACTGGGCAGAAATTGTACCAGATGTTTTGATTCTGATTGTGAATCGAGTAGATTCGTTTGAAGATTTTGTTGCTTTTGGTGGTGTATGCACTTCATGGCGATCTGTTGCAGTCAAGCAAAATTTCAATACGTCCTCCCCTCAACTTCCCTGGCTCATGCTCTCTGAAAAAGAAGAAGAAGAAGAAGAAGAAGAAGAAGAAGAAGAAGGCATTAATAATAATATGCGTGAATTTTTCAGTCTATCGAAAGGCATGATTCACAAAGTCCCTCTGCCAGAAGCCAGAGGTAAACGTTGTTTTGAAACACTGGGATGGTTGGTAACCATAACAAAAGACGGCGAGATGGGACTGTTGCATCCATTCTCACGCCTTCAAATTGGGCTTCCCCATCAAACTACCTTCAAATATTTTCACCAGTATCCGATGGATCCTGTGGATTTCGTATTCAAGGCAGTCTTATCTGCATCCCCTTCTCTTACTCCAAACTACGTACTCATGGTTATTCACGGAGCTGCCAAACACCTCGGTTTTTGGAGACCCGGCGGAGAGAATTCTTGGACTGTCATAGAAACCCGTGATTTCCTGTACGAGGATGTTATTTATTACAAGGGCCAATTTTATGCATTAAGTAATCAAGGCTCGATTTTTGTTTGGGACGTTGGGGGTCCTAATCCAACGGTGGCGCGTAGAGTTGGAGGAATAAAAAGTGAATTGCTTTGGTATATGCAGCCGTACCTGGTTGAATCGGGTGCAGAATTATTGGTGGTTGCGCGATATGTAATACATCCAGGTGACGACACAGACCCAACTTATGAGACCACTTCCTTTAAAGTGTATGAGGTTGATTTGAGCAAGGAGGCGAGATGGCAAGAGATTAACAACTTGGGGGGAAGAGCACTCTTCTTGGGTCACAGTGCTTCCATCTCTGTTGATGCCTCTAGGTTTTTCCCAGCAATCAAGCCCAATTGTATATATTATACTGACGATTACATGGACATGTACACATACCCAGTTGACAACAACCCAGGAGGTGGGAAGGACATGGGTGTTTACAACTTGGAAGATGGAAGCAAGGAACCACTCAACTACAAAGGAGAATCCCTTAGTTATACTTGTCCTCCAGCTTGGGTCTTGCCTTCTTTCTGATGTGCTTGTTTCTCCGTTACTCACTCTTGTGGAGGACGATCATGTCCTCTTTTTAGGTTGTTATTTTCTACATACACTCAACTTTAGCCAGCCCTTTTTCGATTAATTTGTGTTTTTTCTGTTTTGTTTCTAGTCTAGATTTTGCAAGGGCCCTGGATTGTATTGGATAGTTATTTAAATTATTTGTTATTATTAGTGTCTTTAACTTGTTTGCTTGCAATTCAGTTCTATTTTTGTTTGAATACCGTGAATCAAAGACTTGATAGATAGGATTGTTCTGTTCAGTTCTATTTCTAGATTTTTATTTTTATGATGATTGTTTTAGCTGGTCTTGCATGGAAGGATTGATTGGTAGGCAGTGGCTTTTATAGTTCCAATTTCAGGATCTAACAGCAAATTTGAAACAAGATTGTATAGGAGCAATTCAGTTCTCTGGAGGGCTTTCCTAGCAGTCTCCCTAAGGTATCATATTTCTTTGGTTTCATTTGCGCTTTATAAAGACTGATGGTTGACAATTGCATTTGCTGTTAGATCCTTTCAGCGGATCCTGCTTCAACTGCTGAGAATTGGGGTTAGGTCCTACAGAATACTGTCATGTCTGTGCTTGGAAATTCTGACCTGATTGAACAAGGGTTTCTTTTTCTTCTGACCCGAGGCTTTTCACATTTTAAACAAGATTACATAACAGCAGCTGCATTTTTTGACTAGATTTTGAAAATTGATAATACGATTTAATTTAGTTCATTATTGATGGAAAAATATATAGACCCATCTTTTCTCTTTTTTGTCTCCTTCAAAGACACCATCTATCGTCTAAAGTTAATGACAGAATAGTAATTTAATTGAAAATGGCTCAGAAGAGGATATCAGGTTGAACTTGTCTGTACTTGTCTTTGTAAAGTAATTAGAAGGATTAGGTTTTATAAATGTCTATTGAAGTTTGTTAGCATGTCATAATGTGTTATAGTACTATTTTACTACCAAACATTGTGTTTCGTACTGATGGTTGTATTTGCTGGTTCTATTCTGTGTGCAGATCACTTCGACCACTGAGAACCAAGGGTTAGATTCTACAAAATAGTGTGCTTTGATATTTGAATAATGGTAAACACCATATCTTTAGTTTTCTCCTGTAACATGCTGAACTTCTTTACATTTGAAACTGAATTTCACTGATTTTAGTTGATGAGGAAAGTACAAATATGTCATACTTTTCCTTCTGAGGATCATTAAGTCAGTATAAAGTTATCTGATATGAATTCTAAATTAACTGTCCTCTTCAACCTTATTCAGCTTAAAATTTCTATTAACAAGATGAAATTTATTGATCCATTTTTTCAGAACAAATATGGTTTCTCAGAAGTTGATTTTTTGAAATTATGACCATTTTTTTTTTTTTTTTTTGGTTCTAACTGTAATGAAATTCTTATTTCAAATTTTGTTACTTTGGCCAACTTATAAGTGAAACGAGAATGTCATTAGTGCTGAGAATTTTTTTTTATTTTTTTATGTTAGTGTATTTTTTGAAGCTGAGAAAAATCTCATTAGTGTCTTTTTCATGAGAATTTGGAATAAGTGGTTGTGGAGCAGAGAAAAATGGGAAAGTTGAGAGCTTATTTCTTTAGATCCTCTCTTTAGGTAGTGTTTGGTTCACTGGAATGGAATGGTCATTCATTCCATCAAAATATCTATTCCTATGTTTGGTTGACTAAAAAAATAAAGAAAAATGCATTGCAATTGGAATCGTCATTCACCCTTGTAAATGAATGATCATTCCATAGGTGTGAGTTTAAGGAAGGATCATTCCATTCTATTCCATCTCATTCCTATGAACCAAATGGAGCATTAGGCTTTCCCCATTTGATCCTCCCATTTTCCCCCAATTTCTCTCTACTTCCATTGCTAGAGGAGCTCAGGAAAATAGTTTCCAATGTTATGAATTGAGATATCAATTTTGTCTTTCGTGTCTCACAAATAGGTTACTTTGAAACTTCTATTTTAGACCCACGGAGGCAGTATTGAAGTGGTGGAAACTAAGAGTGTTGATTGGAGAGAGCTCCTGTAATAAGGGTGGTGTTAAGTCGGTGGGACATGAGAAGTGCTCCTCCATCTAGGGAAGAAAACATAAAGGAAGCCTGGAAAACAAGATCCACAACCTGAGTTTATCTGGAGAGAGTTATTGCATACCTTTACATCCAGCCCAAGAAATCATGCCGAAAACCTTTAAATAAATCCAGTAGGTCAAAGAATGGGGGTTAGTTTTTGTTTAGTTTGTTTCTTGTTTTACCTACCCTCTGGAGCTATGACAGTTGTGTATTTGCCTTAACTTTGGGGTTTTCAAGTGTGTGCATGTTTTGTGCCTACCCTTTTGGGGTTGTAAGAGGATGTCCTAAAGAAATGGTGTAATTTACCACAAGGACTAATGGTGTAATTTTTACCCTAAAGAAAATGGCGCTGCCATAGGGTCTTAATTGAAGAGAATATCCAAGTGACCTCATTACAAACCTGATTTCAAAATTACTACAAAAGAGAAGAGAAAGTTCCAATTCTCTCATGAAGGTTCATATGTGAAAATAATGAAAATATGAAATTTTTTGAAGACATTGGCAAATTCAAATAAGAAAATCCAAGCATTTACCCAATAGGCGAAATTCAGTCTATGTATCTCAAAAACTAGATCAAGGAATAAAATTACCTGGGATTAAATTCATAGCATGCAGCAAAAAGAACTATAAACGCAAGCTTATTATTGTATTCCATATGTGAAAAGCACTAATTAGCAAGGTAATGGACTAGCCTTCTGAGGGGTTTAAAACTGACCCCAAGCCAGCAACTGAAACGAGGGAAAGCATTAGCATAGTATATTTATGCCCAAGAAGGGGGAGGGGAGGATATGGACCAGGATTCTGGCTATGTTAGGATAGTTTTAGATAGGTTGGCTACTTTTAAAAATGAGGTTTAGTTGCTTGTTTTTCATGCCTGTTCTCATATTTTTCTGTTGTCTTGTATGCTTGGAATTCAATGTGGTTCAATGTAGTTACAGGGAGACATGCATGAAACAATTAGGATACATCAATTTGGTAAATTCGAGTTTGTTACATAAAACCAAAATTTGGGGGTTGTTTTATTATTAGAAGGTTGATGATACGTGCATCTCATCAAGGTAGAGCTAATCCCAGTTGGGTTCATAGGAAATTTCAACACTTGGAGGTTATTGAATGGTTGTTTCTTCTGCCAAAACTCTAGAAACATGTCCTGAGAATTTTAGAGAGAGAAAGAGAGAGAGAGCAAATCTGAACATCAGAGTTTCAAAGCTCCTTACATCATTCAGTATTAGCAAAGAAGTTTTCCAGGGTGGGGGGCAAACAACGACGATGACGCCTTCAAAGTATCACTTGCTTTGCATTGCTTCTCAAACATTATCAGGAGATGTCTCCCTTGCTCTTCTATTCTCAGCTGTAGATTATTTCCTTGAATCTGCAAAAATAAAAAATAAAAAGAAAAGAAAAGAAAAGAAAAAAAAGTGACAAAAAATCAGTATCCATAAATAATAGATGGCTATGGCAACAAGAGCCACCAATTTCCTACTATCATGGTTGCAACAAGGCCATCCGGCGGTAATTTCTAATGACTAAATGACAAACATCCATTTACTGGGGACATCAAAGGAAATGGTATTTTAAAGTTTAGAAAGATCGTTCTCAGTGATATGGATTAAGGGGGTTCTTGCATTTCTATATGTTGTTCTTGAGGAAGATGTATGAGATTCTTCAAGGAAAAAAATAAAAAGAAAACGGTACCTGCCTATAAATTATCTTCAATGGCTCAAGAAATTTATTTTTAACTTTTAAAATTTTGTTACTCAACAAGGAGAGTGTATGCAACTAGAATGGCTAACCAAATGAGTACCACAGTGAAACAAAAGAAAATTCATGAACTAAAAAAAAGCTTACAGACTAGAAAGAGAAAGGAAAGCAAGGTCAAATAATAAGCCAGTTTGGAATGGAGAAACAAATTCAAGGTGCCTTGTGTCTTGATTTCTGTAATTTCATTTTTTGTGATAACTATTAAAAATGAGCAAAACAAACCCTAATGGCTGGTTTTCAAGGCATGCATCAAGCTGCTAACAAGTCAGCAGCAGGCTTCAAATAGATCTAATATTGGGAGCATTAAATTTTTTCTACTAGTTTTATTTCCAGTAAACTGCAATCAGGATCAAGAAGTGACAAATCAAATAAAAATAAAATCCATTTATGATAAACAAATCCATACCTCTGACTGCTCATGCAAGGGCTTTTGGACTCCCATCTGTAATCGTATTGCTTCAGTGAGCTCAATACCCCTGCCCACATATAAGTTAAGAGGTCTGAATAAATCCAGTCTAGCAATCCATATGGGAAACAACCTGATACTGAATTTGAACTAGTAGGTTAAGTTGCATCAAGAGGCAAAAAGCTTCGAAGGCATTGAGAGAGAGAGAGAGAGAGAGAGAGAGAGAGAGAGAGAGTGTGTGTATGTGTGTGTGTGCCAAAATCCTTTTAAAAAAAAAATAAAACATAAAACAAGCTAATACTTGTCATAAAAAATGCAAGACAATGCAAATCAAACAGTGGCATGCAGTAACAAGTCATTAGAATGTGTCGCCATCAGTGGTGAAATAATTCCATAAGCTACAATGCACCACCAATCTTGACCAAGAAATTTGTGTAAACTACTTGAGCTACTTTAGATGGAAAGAGTAGCTACTTAATTCCTGGTTAAAACACATCTCAAGGCAAAGACATAATTCCGGGTTCCCCATACATACATTGTAAAGTTGAATGCATATCACTTAACTGAGACAAGAAAAACTTATTAATAAAAATTATAAACCATGTATCTTTTCCCAACTTCATAGAACTGCACATCACCTCTAACGTTCACCATAATCAAGTCAAAATAGCAAAACATTTTAATTTCCCCATTAATATTTAGAAATGTAAAAGCATGTCTAAGTTAATTCAATAATCCAGGCAACAATAGGTGAATGACAGTCTCTGGAAATCTAAATGAGTCACAACTACCAGATGCATCAATACTTCAAAGATGTACGATATCTAATTCCCTTCAAGCACAAGAAGAAAACGCTGCGTTGCAAGATAGATATACATCTAAGTGCATCCAAGTCAATCTACTTACGTTTTCAAGTCCAGAGATGCGACTTCCTCAATGCAGGTAAACTTTTTCTCTGAAGAACCTGCAAATCAAGAAAATGACTAGCTTAATATGGTACTGCCACAGCTCGTACACTTTTTCACCATTGTTAGGTCCATGAGGTAAAGAATTCAAGATAACTACCGAAGTAAAAATTAGATTTAGGCCTAGAAATTTGAGCCAGGAAAAAAAAAGAAAGAAAGAAAGAAGTCTGAGGGAAGGAGTTGACTTGCAAAGACAATTAGCATTTCATGACAGAGTACTGAGACTCAAGTAACCGTGAAATACACAACCATAAGCATCACAACAAATGCCAATAAAATTGACAGTGGAAAAAAAGAAAGATAATATAAGAAATTAGTGTATTAAAGATCTACATCACGCAGTAAGTTACAAAAAAGGGAAAGCAAACTCAGCAAACAGGGAGATGAATAATCACAAGAAAACACAAAATGAATTACTGCACAGTGAAAGTTTTGAAAAACAGGAATGGAGCCAAAAAGGATCTCATAATTTTAGGGGCAAATGAGGTTAAGAAGTACTGTAAGGTGAGAAGAGTCACACACTCGCACTGCCACCAAGTTTATTGACTGCTTCAGCGAAGGCCTCAGGTGTCCAACACATGCGCATTTTGGTTGGACCACCGCTTGCTCAGGATGTGGAGTTAAGAGCATGAGGAGAATCCTCAGATGGAGCTGAAATCTGCTGGAGTACTTTGGACTGTTGTTCCGAATAATTTGTTACCTACAATAACACGATAAGGACACAACAATACAAATTAACACACTTTCCATTTTATTAACAAAAATGTGTGAAAAACGTGAAATGCTTTCTTAAGAGTCTTCTTTCCTGAGGAGATTCTAACCTTTAGCTCAGGATCTTCAACAATGTTATCAACAAAAATTACATTCA